CATCATAGTCAAGAGCAAATACATCTACCCTCTGCCCAAGCAGCTCCAGCCAGGTGGGGAGCTCAGCCTCGTCGCCAAACTCGGTACGCCAGGCGTCGCTCAGACGGGCGAAGCAGCGGGACTGTGTGTGACCAGGTGTCCCGCAAGGCTGACCAGCCCGATCACCTGTGCGAATGACGTACGGGCAGCGATCGGGACTCAAAGACCCTCTACTCTAAGCGTACCACTCGTGAAGCTGCTGGGAAGTAAGTGTCTCACGTGGACGCCGCTGCAGCTGCAGCTGGCCACTGCCAGACGCTCCCGACTGACCAGCTCCAGGGCGACAGCTACGACGGCTACCGCCACAACCCCAATTAGCATACCACTCACGAAGCTGCTGGGGCGGGAGAGACTCGCGTGGATGTCGCTGGAGCTGCATCTGGCCACCGACAGTAGCAGCAGTAGCAGTAGCAGTAGCCTAGCAGTAGTAACAGAAGGAGCAGCAGTAGCAGCACGGGCAGGGCAGGCGCGGCAGGCGCGGCAGGCAGGCAGGCAGGCAGGCAGACACGCAGGCAGGCAGGCAGGCAGGCAGGCAGGCAGATGGCGCGGCAGCGCGCTAACAAGGCAGGTGCTCACCAGGCGGGAAGGGCAGGCGCTCGCCGGGCGAGCAGGGCCGGCGCTCGGCGGGCGGCTGCACGGGGACCAGGGGCGGCGTCGCGGGTCCAGGGGCGGCGTCGCGGGGTCCAGAGGCGGCTGCACGGAGTCCAGGGGCGGCTGCACCAGGGGCGGCTGCTTCAGGGGCCCGGGGCGGCTGCTCGGGGTCCAGGGGCGGCTGTGCCAGGGGCGGCTGCTGCAGGGGCCAGGGGCGGCTGCTCTGGGTCCAGGGGCGGCTGCTCGAGGGTCCAGGGGCGGCTGCACCAGGGGCGGCTGCTTCAGGGGCCAGGGGCGGCTGCTCTGGGTCCAGGGGCGGCTGCTCTGGGTCCAGGGGCGGCTGCTCGAGGGTCCAGGGGCGGCTGCACCAGGGGCGGCTGCTTCAGGGGCCAGGGGCGGCTGCTCTGGGTCCAGGGGCGGCTGCTCGAGGGTCCAGGGGCGGCTGCACCAGGGGCGGCTGCTTCAGGGGCCAGGGGCGGCTGCTCTGGGTCCAGGGGCGGCTGCACCAGGGGCGGGTGCTTCAGGGGCCAGGGGCGGCTGCTCGAGGGTCCAGGGGCGGCTGCACCAGGGGCGGCTGCTTCAGGGGCCAGGGGCGGCTGCTCTGGGTCCAGGGGCGGCTGCTCGAGGGTCCAGGGGCGGCTGCACCAGGGGCGGCTGCTCCAGGGGCCAGGGGCGGCTGCTCTGGGTCCAGGGGCGGCTGCTCGAGGGTCCAGGGGCGGCTGCACCAGGGGCGGCTGCTTCAGGGGCCAGGGGCGGCTGCTCTGGGTCCAGGGGCGGCTGCTCGAGGGTCCAGGGGCGGCTGCACCAGGGGCGGCTGCTTCAGGGGCCAGGGGCGGCTGCTTTGGGTCCAGGGGCGGCTGCTCGAGGGTCCAGGGGCGGCTGCACCAGGGGCGGGTGCTTCAGGGGCCAGGGGCGGCTGCTCTGGGTCCAGGGGCGGCTGCTCGAGGGTCCAGGGGCGGCTGCACCAGGGGCGGCTGCTTCAGGGGCCAGGGGCGGCTGCTCTGGGTCCAGGGGCGGCTGCTCGAGGGTCCAGGGGCGGCTGCACCAGGGGCGGCTGCTTCAGGGGCCAGGGGCGGCTGCTCTGGGTCCAGGGGCGGCTGCTCGAGGGTCCAGGGGCGGCTGCACCAGGGGCGGCTGCTTCAGGGGCCAGGGGCGGCTGCTCTGGGTCCAGGGGCGGCTGCTCGAGGGTCCAGGGGCGGCTGCACCAGGGGCGGCTGCTTCAGGGGCCAGGGGCGGCTGCTCTGGGTCCAGGGGCGGCTGCTCGAGGGTCCAGGGGCGGCTGCACCAGGGGCGGCTGCTTCAGGGGCCAGGGGCGGCTGCTCTGGGTCCAGGGGCGGCTGCTCGAGGGTCCAGGGGCGGCTGCACCAGGGGCGGCTGCTTCAGGGGCCCGGGGCGGTTGCTCCAGGGGCGGCGTAGCTGGTGCAGGGCAGCGCGTGGGTCCCACAGGTGCCGTGACGGGCGACGGGGGGCAGCGCGCCGTCACCGGAGAAGGTGACGCGTGGGGCCGGCGGCAGGCTGCGCGGGCGGCTGACTTAGCGCGCGGGGCCGAAAACGGGCTACGCGGGCGGCGGACGCGGCGCGCAGGGCCTAAGCGGGCTGCGCGCGGCGGCTTACGCGACGCGCGGACCAGCGGCAGGCTGCGCGGGTAGCTGACGTGGCGCGCGGGGCCGAAAACGAGCCTAAACCGGCTTAAACGAAGAGCGCGCTGGCTGCTCAAGCGGCGCGCGCGGGAAAAAAAAAAAAAAAAAAAAGGGCCGCGCGCGTGCAGCCGAGGCGCGCGCGGGCAGCAGGCAAGGCAGGTGAGGAAACGTGGTAACGGTGGGCCCTTATCTTAGGTCTCTAGGCTCTAGATACCATCTTATAATCTTAGGCATGAAGTTGTGTGATTGAGTAGGTCAAGGGGGGGTACAAGAAGAATGTCGAGAGAAATATTGTACCCCCTAGTGCTAACCCCCATATAGCCTAGACAACCTAAATATAACATATAAATATAACTTGACAGTTCTGCTGCGAATACACTGCCTCAATCTGCAAGTGGGGGAGAGACTGGAATTTCTCAGCAGCAAACCAGTCTGCCCGCATTGCGGGGGGTTTGAGACACTGGAACACTGTCTTATGGAGTGCCCGAAAATTCAGGGGGTGGTTTCGGCGGTCAAAAAAGCATTACGGATTATCAACCCGGGCAGGAAAAGCGACACACTTGGCGAGTGGCTGTTCGGCAAGGAGGGGTCCCAGTCAGCATTTCCTGAGGCCTCGCTGGTTGCGATTGCCCTGCACCAGTTATGGGCGGAAAGATGTGAAGGAGCCTTCAGGGGCTGCAAATTCCGCACGCGGAGGGTCCTACGGAGGATTGAGTCGGCCCTTCGCATGCATGTTAACGTTTACGTGCGAGCCTCGGCCGTAAGGATGCAACAGCGTGGGAAAGTTCAGCAGGCCAGGTGGCAGAAGATGACGGGGCAAGAACGTGACCTTCTGAATCGCATCAGAGTGATGGATGGCAAAAGTTGGAAGTGGTCCAACGGTTTCGCGGCAATTTGGGGCAAACCTCGCAGGCCCCGGATCCATGTCTGAGGATCGAATTCTTTGAGGCGGGTCTTCCTGTCTCTCATGCACAGTTACGACTGTTTATGCGTTGTACACTTATGTTCTGGTGTATGATTCATATAAGCAAAAAAAAAAAAAAAAAAAAAAAAAACTGTAGTGGGCAGGATGCGGTTCTGTACCATTGTTCGATGCGCAAGCTGATTCCTGTAACGTGCGTCACACGATTCGAGGTACGTGCAGGGGGTGTGCCGTATCGTGAACGGGAGCTGATCATGTCTGGCATTTTTGTAAAATTCAGTGTTACAACGCAAAACCTGGTAACTAAAGGGCTTACGAACAGTAATTGAACGAGCTGGACACCTCCTTAGCACGTCAGCTTCTCCTTGTCAAATCCACTGAACTGAACTCTCACCAATTGAGCCATTTCATCAATCGCTGAGGGCGGGTCCAACTTTGCACACTCCCGTTTTTTTTCGTTATTTTTACGTCAATGCACTAGTCAAACTTGACTGTGCCCCAGTGCGAACTCCAAACATTTCCTGTCCAGTTCCGAGTGCACAATTCGGACTTTTGACAAGGTACAGTAACGCTGCGATACAGTAACCTGGAATGAGGGGTTACCCAATAAAGCGAGGTTTTTTGCACCTGTGACAGAGGGGGGATTCATTGGCGAAAACAAATTAGCGAAACAAGGTGTTACCTTCTGGCGTGTTTGACGCGAAACGAGTTTGACGTGAACCTTCGGACGTGTTCTGCACGTCCCCGGGCACGTTTTCGAAATGTCATCATATATGTACAGTCTCGCGTCAAATGGATTCTGGTACGTTTGTAGTTCTGTTACATCACGAAATGTGGTAACTGAGCTGAAAATTTATTGTACATGTGCAAAGTTGGACCCGCCCTGAGTGTTCCTTGCCGTGGCGCTGACTCTCCGAGCAACCATAGCCTTCGAGCACTTTACTTAGTTCCATTGCAACTACTCAGAATGGCTGCTGCATCACCGATCGCTCAGCTGTCAGATGATCTTCTCTCCGTTATCCTCCGTCTCGTCGGTCGATCCGACGGTCAGTTCCAGCACGCGCTTGTGTGCAAGAAATGGCATCGCATTGTCCGTAGCGTACACGACCAAATCCACATTCGCGAAAGCCGTCGTATACGTCCTCGCGAGCTGCTCGCGCACCTCTCATCATTCCCAAGGCTTCGAAAGCTCGTCCTCGCTGTCTGCAGCATCACGTCCGTCCCCGACTCCCTCCTCTCGGGGATTGCCGACACGTGTCCAGATCTGACGGATCTCCACGTCGATACGATGCAACGAGAGTACAGACAGGGTGGTTTCACAGAGAGCGGGCTTTCGTATCTCTTTGAGAAGTGCACACAGCTGGAGGGACTTCGTCTTGATTGTCAGTGGAATCTGACCGACATTCCCTCTTCCATCGGCGGCCTTGCGTCACTCAAGAGCCTTCACATCACCGACAGGGGGGAAATCGCTCTCCTTCCAGACGCGTTCACCTCGTTACAGGCACTCGCGCATCTCATGATTGAAATGCACGGCCTGGATGAACTGCCGCAGGACTTCGGCAACCTGAGGCTGCTCATGTCGCTCCATCTGATCGACTGCCAGTGTCTCGGTTCCATTCCCGATTCTTTCGGACAGCTTATCAACTTGGCGCAACTTTCCATCAGTGGCTCCACAAGCCTTCAGCTGCCCGAATCCATCTCCAACCTTACATCCCTGCTGACCCTCGAAATTTCCAACTGCCAAGACCTTTCACCGCTGCCCGAGAGCTTCGGGAACCTGCCAGCGCTTGAAACCCTACGTCTGGAGGATGTGGGGGGGATCAGAAATCTGCCGCGAGTCTCGGGCAGCTGTCTTCTCTGGCAAATCTTATCCTCGCCGGCATCTGCCTGACGACGTCGCTCTCCTCCCACGCCTATGCACGCTCAAGCTAGACGTTGGCATGGCCGTACAGCTGCATCCCTCTGTATACCTTGCCACCACACTCAAAGACCTCACGATTGAAAAGACTAGAACTCTACATTCTCTGCCCGAGGAGTTCGGGCAGCTTACTGCCCTCGAGGCCCTGCGCCTGGTTGAGCTTCCGCGGCTCAGCAGCCTGCCCGCGTCGATTGGCAACCTGAGGAGCCTCAAGGAGCTGAAACTTGCGACATGCAGCCTGCTGACGCAGCTTCCAGACTCGCTCACTCTGCTTTCTTCCCTTGAGCTGCTGGATATCAAGGATTGCTGCAAGCTGACAGAGCTACCGCATGGCATGGGGGATGGGCTGCATAGCCTGCGCGGACTGACTCTGCTCGAATGCACGGCTCTCACCCACCTCCCTCCATCCATCTCCAGCCTCTCCTCCCTCGCAACCCTAGAAATCCATCGAGCAACCAGCTTAGGCGCGCTACCAGACGGGTTCTCCCACTTGACAAGCCTTAAGAAGCTCTCTTTCTATGACTTACCGCACCTGCCCGCCCTGCCCGCCCTGCCCGCCCTGCCCGCCCTGCCCGCCTCCCTCCCTGCCATCGGCCACTCTCTCACCAGCCTCGAGCTGGTCAACTGCAAGCAAATCACGGTGCTGCCAGATGAGATCGGACGGTTGGGAGCGCTTGAAGCTCTCACGCTCTACAACATGCCCGACCTGAAGTCGCTCCCTCGCTCGCTGTGTGAGCTGCAGCGGTTGAAAAAACTGCAAGTGAGCTGCAGCACGCTGCAGTCGCTGTTTGGGGATGAAGACCGGGGAGTCGTATCGCATGGCCGTGGGGCGGGAAGCACCTGCCTCCAGTTACCCAGTCACACGGGTAGCAGCAGTGCCGCTGGCAGCTGTGGGGGGTCCGACTCGAGTGACATGGGTGTGTTGCTGCCATCCCTCCAAGACCTTCAACTGGCGGCCCTTCCATTGCAGCAGCTCGGGGCATCGCTGGGCTCTTTCTCATCGCTAACCCACCTCGAGATCCCGCACATGAATCGCCTCCGCTCGCTGCCAGACTCCATCTCTCGCCTCTCTCGCTTGCAGTCACTCACGATCACTTCTGCCAAAAGCCTGCTAGCTCTGCCAGAGTCGATAGGGCAGCTCTCAGCTCTCACATCCCTCCACCTTGACGGTCTCATGCGCTTGACTGCTCTGCCTGAGTCATTTGGGCAGCTGAAGAAGCTTCAGGTTCTTCATATTGACCAATGCCCGGGCCTAACCAGGCTTCCCGAGTCCTTCCCTGATCTCTGCCGACTGGAGCGGTGTCATTTCTGCGATGTCGGCATTTCGTGCCTTCCAGATGACTTCTGGAAGCTCTCTGCTTTGAAATACCTCTTGCTCATGTCACTGCCCAAACTCTGCAGCCTGCCCGAATCTTTTTCGCAGCTGCCCGCACTGGAGGAGTTGAACCTGACCCAGTGCGAGGGGCTGGCTCAGTTACCCTCGGGCCTGCAGCAGATGGGGAAGCTGTAGACTTGCATTATCAGTGGGTGCCCACTGCTGCCGACAAGAACGAGTGTACCGATTCACATAGCGAACTTGGACGAGGGAGAGCGTCTGGTTTAGGGGGAGGAGGAGGAGTAGTAGACGGAAGAGTAGGAGGAGGAAATGGGGACAGCAGAGGTGGATGAGGGGAGTGGAGGCACAGCGAGAGAAAGGGAGGGAGGAAAGGGGAACGATGGGGAGGGAATCGAAGAGGAGGTGAACGCAGCGGAGGGGAGTGAAGGGGAGAAGAGCGAAGGGGAGGGGAGGGAAGGTGAGGGGAACGAAGGGGAGGGGAGAGAAGCGGAGGGAAGCGAAGGGGAGGGGAGTGAATTGGAGTGAAGAGTAGAGGAGTGTGGAACGGAGGAGGTGGTGGAGTGAGATGGAGATGAGGAGGACGAGCAAGGCAAGGGTGACGAGGTGAGAGAGGAATGGCAAGTTGATGGAAGAGGCGGATTCAGAGGAGGCAATAGGTGATGTCATGCGGGGTGGGGGGTTGATTAGAGAGAGAGAGAGAGAGAGTCGTATGATTGTATGCACTCCTTGGTGTCACAGTGTTTCATGTCAACCCAAGCTGTTCTTGTTGGCGAACAACTTTTAAGCTGCATAAAAAGCATGTCATGTCAACCTGAGTTGTACGTGTTGGTATTTTGTTGCCTGAAAGCGTGTTGTTGGTGGTAAGGTTCTGCTTCTGCTTCTGGTCGTGCTAAGGTTGCACTGCTGTCATGCTAAGGTTGCACTGCTGTCATGCTAAGGTTGCACTGCTGTCATGGGTGCGCAGGTGGGGATGGTGCGGCTAGTGTTGAGTCATTGTTAGATCTACACTACCATATTTCCAACTCCTGGCGTGCAGGGGACTTTGGAGAGGAGCAGGTGCAGCAGGTGGCGGCAGTGAAAGCCATGATGGCCGCTGTGGGGGCCGATGTGGGGGCTCAGTGAAGGTGGAGGTGGCAGTCATCCTCGGCAACCATGACGCCTGGTTCCACATGTTCAGGTGCCTTCAGGTGTTCAGGTGCTTTCATGTGTTCAGGTGCTTTCAGGTGTTCAGATTGTGTTAAGGTGCTTTCAGGTGTTCAGATTGTGTTAAGGTGCTTTCACGTGGTGCTCAAGTGGTTTCACATGCGAGGTGGTTCCACATGTTCAGGTGCTTTCAGTTGTTCATTCAGGTGATTTCACATGTTCAGGTGCTTCCACATGTTACCACATGTCCAGATGATTCCACATCTTCAAGCAGTTTCTCATGTTCAGGTGGCGCTGTTGAGCTCAGGTGGTTTCAGCTCACATATGCAACATGTCACGCGGGCAAGTCTTCACACTCCCCTGTGCCTCAAACCATTCACCTATTAACTGCTTTGCACCATGTGTCATGGCACAAGATGACATATGAGTTGACTTTAGAGTCATCTTGAATCAACGCAGCCGTTCTCTCCCGTGCAGCATTATGGCATGGCACCACGTGTCAGCTTCTCGTGTATCCGTCATTTGCTCGCCTCATTCCTCGTCCTCTCCTGGCTGCCTTGGCTTCCATACGCAGGAAAGAGAGTGCGCCACTGGTGGATGCGGTGGATAGGCTCCCTCAACAGCTTGAAGCGTATGCCCTCCCTCCGCCTCTCGCTCGTCAGCTCCCTTTCTCTACTGCCCACATTCTCTCCTGCTCTCCTGCTTTCCAATCTATTCTCATAATCTCCTGCCACCATGTTCCACCAGCTCCAGTTTGTACTGCTATTATACATTCACTCCTACATGTGCTGCGGCTTGATACAAGCTGTTCTGATACCCTGTACAGCACAGGACATCAGAACAAACACACTGACCCCTTCCTCCTCTTCATCCCTTCGTCTCCACCCACCAGCCTAGGCAGCCTGCACGTGGGGTACGGCAGGGTGGACCTCCCCCAGTGGCACCTGTTCATCACCATGCGCACTCTATTGTACCTCTCCTTGTTCCGTCGTGCTTTCTCCATCCCTTCTCCCACCCTCCCCACCCACACCAGCCTAGGCAGCCTGCACGTGGGGTACGGGCGGGTGGACCTCCCCCAGTGGCGCCTGTCCATCGTGGGAGCTCGCCCCTTCTCCTACGGCCCCTCCAGCTGGGCTAAGAGCTTCTACCGCGCCAGGTGGGACCGTGGGGGGTGATGTGGCAGGGTACAGAGCGAGAGGTGGGGCTGAGAGCTTCTACCGCGCCATCCATCCATCCATCCATCCATCCATCCATCCATCCATCCATCCATCCATCCATCCATCCATCCATCCATCCATCCATCCATCCATCCATCCATCCATCCATCCATCCATCCATCCATCCATCCATCCATCCATCCATCCATCCATCCATCCATCCATCCATCCATCCATCCATCCATCCATCCATCCAGCCATCCATCCATCCATCCATCCATCCATCCATCCATCCATCCATCCATCCATCCATCCATCGATCCGTCCGTCCGTCCGTCCGTCCGTCCGTCCGTCCGTCCGTCCGTCCGTCCGTCCGTCCGTCCGTCCGTCCGTCCGTCCGTCCATCCATCCATCCATCCATCCATCCATCCATCCATCCATCCATCCATCCATCCATCCATCCATCCATCCATCCATCCATCCATCCCCGCACTGCACGCCATCAGGTGTGGAGTGCGCAGCATGAACGCCAGCACAGCAAAGATAACAGAAACCATCCGAGCAGCACCGGAGTCACACAGCGTTGTTGTGCTCGCACACAACAGGCCTGCAGTTGAGCCCGATGTGAGCGAGGTTGTGATGGTGGTTGGGGTGGCGGGGTGGCGGGGTGGCAAGATGGTGGTGTGGTGGGGGGATGGGGTGGTGCGGGGATGGGTGGGGTGGTGGCACCATGCTGCAGTGCCACAAATGCAGCTCTATGTCTGGTTTTTTAGTTTCAGAGTAGTAAATCCCACGAGGAAACAGAAACAACCAGCCGTCTCCCAGCATTGTTGCCATGGCATTTGCGATTGTCCTTTCCTGTCAAACGCCTCTGCCTCTTTTCCTCCTGCCATCACAATGCTCCCCACCGTCCCAGGCCTGGGATCGCACCTATGGGACATTTGCGTCCCCTCCAAAGGGCTGCCACCAGGAGGGGACTTTGGGGGGACGAAGGTGAGGAGGAGCAGAAGGGTGGTCAAGATAAGGGGGCCGTCATGGTGATCGGGAAGGAGAGGGTCGGGGAGGGAAGTTGAGGTGGGTGATTGGCTGCTCTGCTTACTCCCTCCCTTTCTCTCGTCTCCTCTCCACACTTCCATTCCCGGCTGCTCCTTTTTCCCTCCCCTTCATCACCTCCTCCTCCTATCTCCTCTAAGCTATTTCCGTGTGCAACGCACCACTCATGACTCCCACCCGTTACCTCCCCATTACCATTTCATAAAAACCAGACGCATCCCATGCATGCACCATGGCAGCCAGAGGCATCACATGCACCATGGTAACCCGAGAGGGTCACTTCTTCCATTCCCCCTCCCAAGCAGCCTTCACACGAGCAATAACAGAAGCTCCGGCAGACAAAATCTACATCCCCTGGCCGCATCCATATTCACCGCCACCTTTCTCCTTCAACCACTCTTCCCTCGTCCTCCTCGTCTTTCCGTGAACACCTTCCCTCATCGCCTTACCCAAGGCGATGATCACAGCATCTCTGTTCGGCAGGCTCTGCGGACCTCTGCTGGTGCTGGGCTAGAGGAACCAAAATTCTGTTCTAACCTGTCTTGCCCTCGTCCTTCCATGCCCTTCTTTCCCCCAGATTTATCCAAGGCCATTACAGCAAGCCTGGCGGACGGGCGGCACATCCCAAGGGTGTTGTTTGGCCACATGCACCGCGACCTCTTCCCCCGCTCCAACCGCCTCACCACCACTCACACTGCCCCCACGCGGCAAGGGGAGGCTGCCACCCAACGTCGCATGGCTGCAGTGCTGCTGCACCCCGCCTCGTCGCCTCTCCCCTCCACTGCCTCCCCTCCAGTCGCCGCCACTCCGCCAGCTGAACAGGCTGCCATGGCTGCACCAGCTGCACTATCTATGCCTGTTCTTGCAGGTAACATGCCACTAGCTGCTCCCTCCACCACCTATGCCAGCAACCAAGCCAGAACCCACACAGTGTTTCTCAACGCTGCAGTCGTGCCGCGGATAGTCTCTCTTGACGAGGAGCATTTCACCCGCACCTCTGGGCCAGGCTTGGCAGTCTACCCCGCTCCTGGTTCGGAGCCGCGTGACCCAACACCAGGGCTATTGCCGCCATACTGGAAAGGAATGGGAGAGAATTGTGGAGCAGGCGGAGAAGAAGTGGACAGTGGGCCGCTGGGTGTGTCTGCAGGAGTGTGCAGAAGGATGGAGGGGTTAGGGATAGGTGATGCGAGGGATGAGAGGGGAGGGGAAGAGGTGCAGGTGGCAGCACAAGCAGGGTGTGTGGCGGATGGAGCCTCACCGTCTGAGAGGTTAACAAAACGAGGGGTCGACTCACTTCCAGTCGCTGGTGTGGGGGATGAAGATGGGGAGGGGCGTGGGGAAGCGTGTGGGGAGGGGTGTGGTGGGGAAGGAGGAGCGGAAAGGGGAGGAGAGAAAGAAGCAGTGGTATGGGAGGATGAGGTGCGGTGGGAGGGGGTGGATGGTGTAGCGGTGGAAGGAGGCGTGGGGGAGAGGGATGCGGGTGCAGCCCCGTCGCTGCACCACTTTGTGCTGGCACACCTGGCGGTGCAGGGAGCAGTGGAGCAGGGGCAGGCAAATCAGGGTCCAGTGGGGCAGGGCTCAGTGGGACAGGAATCTGTGCCACCTGCATTGGCTGACTCTGTGGCGGCAGCTCTTGCTGACGGTGACTGGGAAGGGCAGTGTGTGGATGGTGGGGCAGGCCGGTGGGTTTGTGTGGGTGCAGAGGACGTGTGGGTGAAGGTGGATGAGCGGACGGGCGGTGGTGGGAGGAGGGGAGTGGTGGCATGCTTGCACAGGAAAGACGGGAGGTGACATTTGAATGTCTGGTGAGAATGGGGAGCAAGTACTGGAGATGGTTGATACTACGCATAGCTTTGCAACAGATTTGAATGGGAAGGAGGATGTGCATGTGTTTATGACACTCTGGAATAAGTATCAACAATATTTTTTACATGATCCTGAGGAATCAGTATGCCAACCTCTTCTCTGACCCATCAGGTGAGCGTTGGGTGTAAGGTCCTGTATGGTTGTTTCATGGAAAAACGAAGTGGCCATGTGGATACACTGCACTTGGCATGCACGATGCCAAAAGCAGGCTGATGCAAAGGCCAATGGTTTTTTCAGCACAAAAAGAGGTGGCTTTTCCTGGTCGTGGTGGTGGTCGGAGCAGCCAAAGTTATCGAAAATATATTCCAGCAAGTCAATCACCATCACCTGGCACCGTGTCACCTTGTGAGGCCCAAATTTGGAGGCATCAGGGGAACACTAATTAAATTTACTGAACATAGGAACACGACTGAACTTTACCTTGCAGATGAAGTCAACTATTTACTGTGATTCATCCGCAGTGTTAACTGTAAACACAGCGGAACTTGTATAACGAGTTATTTTCATGGCGAAATCATAATTTTCGCGTAACACTTGCACTTCATGTAGTTTCGCCAGCCACTTCACCGTAACCCTGGCCTCGAGTTCCTTGCAAGAGGCTGCCTTCGCGAACACACTTTCCAAGCTCGCACGCCTAGGGCAACCTCCTGGAGCACCTCAGTGTAGGTTTCGCGACACCATTTTCCTGCTCCTGAGCATGATCACTTCATGAACACCGAGATTAGGGTATTCTAATCTCGAGATAGTTCTCCTTGGTTCCAGCATCGAGATTAGCTTTTTCCCAAGTAGAACATCGAGGTCACTTGTCGCGCATCGAAGGTTTCAATGGCCCAAGAAAACGTCATCCCGTTCGCTCTTCTAGACGATCGCCACCTAGGTATTGTCGGAGCTACGGTACCTCCCCGGGCGATAGGGACAATGCCCTGTCGGATTCCCTGTCAGGCACAGGTTCCCTCGACTGCTCTCATCTTTGGCAGCAGAACACTCTTCTCAACTTTAGCCTCAGCCTTTTACTGCATCTTCAGCAGCCTTTTGTTCATCCTTAGCTCAGACCTGTTTGTTAGATACATTCAAGCACAATGGAACTTCTTCCCGCTGAACTCGTTTACGACATTCTCGAGCGTACTCAACCGACGGGACCACTCATTGCTTGGCTCGCGTGTCTGTCAAACAAGTTCAGACGTATGGCGGACACGCAGCTGTGGTACTGGCACTGCCGTGACCAGCTGGCTAGAACAGTCGAGATCGAGGGTACAGCTGATCTTGAGAGTTTCCAGCGAATGGTGAACGATATGGAAAGCGGTGATATTAAGTCGTTTGGAAAGTGGTTGAATTGGTGTCCGGGTGTCAGGCGCTCAATCTTGAGAGGGAGGGAATGCAAACCATGGCGGGATGAGAATGACAACGACGGTGACAACACAGCTTCTGATGATTGGCAAGCCGTGCCTGACGCGGAAGAACACTCTCGTGGCGGACCGCACCTCCGCTCCCCGACTACCATTGTGCTATCCCTGATCGAAGATTGCCAGTTTGTGCTTTCAGATGCTTGCATGTGCTGGAAAACTGAGGGAGTGCTTGACGACCTGGGCATCCGAAACTTGCAAGGATTTTCGAACGATTTCATAAGCTCGCAGTAAGCTCCATTTCTTCCCTAATCGCTCTAAAGGCCATGATGGGGTGTATCACGGGAGCTTTTGGCGTTGGGATCTGGGGCCAGTTTCGAACCCTAAAGTGGATCAGGGCCCGTGCATGGCACCACGCCACTTTAGAGCCCAAATCTTTATATATTTATGCTTTACGCCCATGCTCTGTGTTACAAGTAGCATTCCTCACTCCACCTTTCCAACAGGATGTTTACCCATTTTGCCAAGTCCTTCGTAGAAGACGAATTGTGTCCATTTTGCGAATCCCAAGTGAGTTAAGATCATAGCATACCTGCCTTTGCATTAAATCCAGCACCTGCTAAGGCTGTGAAAAGCAAGATGTGCTTTCATCAGATGACTTTATATGACCGCGTTTTCTTCTTTTATCTCTATGCAACTATGAGTCTGAATCATGTACTTGGCAGGTTATTAAACTCCATCAAGAGAGTGCACATTCAAAGCCCATCCTCTATTTCAATAATAACACCAAGAATGTTCTAAAGCTTCCTACGTTTGTTAACTACTATTGCTCCAAGGTGCACGCAACTGCAATCCTGGTGGCCTCTCCTCCTTCCCTTTCTGTTATCCTTCTCTTCTCGCTCTTCCCCTCTCTCTCTCACCCACTCTCTCTCCCTGACACAGGCACATGCGTGCATGCACACACACACGCGGGCGCGCGGGCGCACGCGCGCACGCACGCACGCACGCACACACTTGAACGTGTTGCTCTGTGTTTTTTCATAATGCTTGAGTTTGGAATAGTTCTTTATATTGCGTTGGGTTTGGATTAATTTTGTTTTGTTATTTCTGCGATTGTCGATTTAGGGTCATACTTACGGAATAAGGAGGACAACTTCGAGGCCATATCCTCCTATGGAGGGTGTTGTTCCAACTGAGTCGCGTGTTAAGCTGTGGGTGGAGGCGGGATCCGAGATCGATTGCCAAGAGCTGCTGGATCGTGTGCTAGCTGTATTGCGCACAGAACGTGATGCCGAATACGTCGTCATCGAGGTGATCTTTCCCACCAATCTGCTGCCAGCCTGGTTTGTTGTGGGGTGGTGCTTTTTGGCATGTGCCAATTGAACTCCCCATGTGAACAGGGGGGACTCTGTAAAGTGCTTCTTCATGGGAGCCATGTATGCTCTTGCAATCAAGAATCGATATTTGTTCTTACTGTTACAGTTCTGCAGCACCACGTTGCTAATGCTTTTTCTTTTTACACCTAGTTGTTTTGGAGATGTGAATGGAACTTGTTTCTTGTGTACGTTCGACTCCACCATGGTCTTGATCTGACACTCTTGCCATTTCTATTTGCTTATTGCACCCTTGCTGATATATTTTTCTTGGAGCCAGAACCGTCGTGACAGATCCCTCATGGATGGACCACCAGCTGCAGAAAGTGCCACTCCTGCTACTCCTCCTGCTCCTCCTGCTACTCCTCCTGCTGCTCCTGCTCCTCCTGCTGCTCCTGCCGCCCCTGCTGCCCCTGCTCCTGCTGCTCCTCTTGCTGCCACCCTTGTTGCTTGTGCTGGTGCAACTCGTGTTCCTGCTCCTACTATTGCGGCTCGAGCAACAAGTGCTACTGCTGCGGATGCAAGTCATGCACCGCCTCCTCGTGCTGCTGATGCTGCTGCTCGCGCAATTCGTGCTAATGCCGCTGGTGCTGCTACGCGTGCTACTGCTGCTGCTGCTGCTGCAACGCGTGTTACTGCTCCTGCTGCAATGCGTGTTACTGCTGCTGCTGCAACGCGTGTTACTGCTCCTGCTGCAATGCGTGTTACTGCTGCTGCTGCAATGCGTGTTACTGCTGCTGCTGCAATGCGTGTTACTGCTCCTGCTGCAACGCGTGCTGCTGCTGCTGCAAATCGCGGTACTGCTGTTGCTACTGCACGTGCTGCTGCTGCCCGTGCAAATCGTGCTGCTGCTGCTGCTGCTGCTGCACGTGCTACTGCTGCCTGTGCTACTGCTGCCCGTGCAAGTCGTGCTTCTGCTGCAGCAACTGGCGCTACTGTTGCGGGTGGAACTCATGCTGCTGCCAATGGTGCAGTTGACTCCCTTCCCCTTCCTGCAATCGTACTATAGCTCCCTGTGCCCAGCAAGGGATGACCATGCTTACATCACAGCACCTATAGACATGTATCATCATCTGCTCTGCAGCACTGACGTCACAGCACTCACAGCGTCTGATCAGCCTACCACTTCTGCTGCTGCTGCTGCTGCTGCCACCTGCGCTGAGACGGATAACAACCAAGGCGCACTTGGAGACATGACATGTGTGATGGCTCGAGTGCATGGTGGCACCATTTTATTTGAAAGCATTATGTCAACTTCGGCCTTTTCGTTTGATCAAGTCTGGTGTTTCAATGGTGAAGTGTGTGTCATCAAGTCTCTGCCGGTACATACCGTAGTATCTCACAGGGCCTAGCAGTTGGTATTTCTCTTGTGTGCCTTCTGTCTTTTGATTATCATCGTTTCTTCCCCAACAGTGTCTGTCTGATTATATGAAGTCCTTCAGTTGCCGTAATCGTTGTTGCCATTCCATACCTATACGGTAGCTTCACATGAAGTAAACAAGGGAAGTATATGAGGAAATTGTTTACTCCCCATGCTATGTAGACATCTCTATGCACGGTACTGGTGATGCCGCCTTACTGCCAGCAAATAAACGACTTGGAACATGTATGACGGTACATGTTGTTCGTCTGGAGGACGTACAGCATAGTCCCATCAGATGTTGCCCAAGTGAAACAACTAACATGCCCTACCTAGCCATCAATGTGCTGCTGCTGCGACCCTCTCCTCTCAACCCGCCGCCCTCCTGCATGCCACAAGAACATCAGCAAGCATCGCGACTCCAATCTCAGCAGCTGCTGAGCTTCCATGTACCAGCAGCTGGTCAGCAGCACTCGTTTTTTCCCACCAACCACCAGCATCCCCACCCTTCCATTTTCCAAACCAGCCACTCCACACTGTCCAGTCCAGAGCAGGGATCCCCCAATGGCCGTTCCATCTCCCCCTGGATCTTTCCTCCCTGCCGCCCTGCCGCCCTGCCGCCTGCCTGTCTGCAAGCAGCGATGCCATCAGTGAGGGAGACAACCCCCAGCAGCTCATCATCCTCCCTTGTCACCCACACGTGGTGCACGCGGTTGGTCACTGCCAGCGCCATCACCCCCACTCATGCCTTCTCCTCCCACCAACCTCTAGTGCCCCCCCGCCCTTCCATCGCCGCTGCCGTCAATTCCCCTGTCCAATCCAGCCGTCCAACTCCATTCCCCATGTACATGGCTCCTATCGAGCACTCTCCACCTGTCTACCGCTGCCCACCCGCCCGTCTGCAAGCAGAGATGACATCAGTCAACGACACCACACCTAGCAGCTCATCCTCCTCCCCGGTGACCCACACGCGGTGCACGCGGTTGGTGGCTGCCAGCGCCATCACCTCCGCCCATTCATTCTCCGCCATCCAACCACTAGTTCGTGCCCCGCCCTTCCATCGTCTCTAACGTCTCTACCGTCCAATCCAGCCACCCTACTCCATTCCCCCACATACGCCTCCTCTCTACCGCTGCCCCCCGGCCCGTCTGCAAGCAGAGATGACATCGGTCAGCGAAACCACCCCTAAGAGCTCGTCGTCCTCCCCGGTGACCCACACGCGGTGCACGCGGTTGGTGACTGCCAGCGCCATCACCTCCGCCAGTGGGGCAGGCATGCGACACGTGATGGACGGGCGCCGACCCTCGGGGGAGAGTGATGCCATGTGAGTCAAGAAGTCCCGCATTTGAGGGGGAGCGGGAATGGCAGTGCGGGGGAAAGTGGGAACAGCAGAGGACATGTGGAGCACGTAAGATTGGTGCTTCAAGTATCAGGCGTAAATAGTAAAAGAGTTGCCACCTTTCTCGTGTCGTGTGCACCGCAGCACCGCCGACTCTCATACCTCTCCCCTCACCCACCTTGCACCACCCGTCTCCCCGCCTTCATGCATGCCAGCCAACCCTTCCCATCCATGCCTCCCCAGCCGACACCCACAATCAACACAATGCACAGGTGGCACGCGCCCCGCATCCGACCATACACTTGACAGCAGCACACGTGCGTGAAGCACCACTTACCTTCATGGAAGTGAGCTGCGCTAGTGTCTCGGCGTCCATGCCCCAAAGATCCGACACCGACAGAGTCCCCAGCAGCCGCCCTCCCCTCACCCACCCTGCTTCTCCCCGCTCCCTCCCCCTCCCTGCCCCAACCCCTCCTCCTCCCCTTCCTCCTGCCACGTCAGCAGCAGCAGCAGAGGCAGCACCAGCAGCAGCTCCAGACCCCTCGCCCTCATCCATCCGCTCTTCCTCCTCCGCACTCCCCACCACCACCGCCACTGCTCTCACGCCACCAGCGTGCTGCATGAGCCTGAGCGCGTCAGTGACTGTGATGCCCGACACTATAGCGAGGGGCGGGAAGAGCGGGTCTGCGAGGCCTAGCTGCTCCACTGTGCGCTGTGCCACGTCACCCAGGGCGTCCACGTGGAGCAGCAGGAAGGCTGCCACGTCAGTCTGCGAGACAAAGTGGTAGGAGTGCTTGAGAGCCAGGGGTGGTTCTTCTGCTGCTGTTTCTGCTCCTGTCGCCGGCCTAGCAGCATCTGCCGCTGCTGCTGCTGTTCCTGCTCCTGCTGTTGCTTCTGCTCTTTCTGTTGCTCCTTCTGCCGGTGTTTCCTCCCTCTGTCGCAAGTGCCTCAGGCGTGGTGTGGCCAAAGGTCATGGCAGCGGGAGCAAGGATAAAAAATACGGCTATTGTATTATACGGGCCGTTTTTTTCGATGGTATAATACGGTGTGTTTGGCAAACATTCGGCCGTTTTTTTGTTGGCCATTTTTTGTCACTGGATTTTTTTCCAGAATCTACTGAAATTGCTACAACAATGACTAGGAAGGCAATAACAACCTACTCTAAGGAGAAACAGGCCTGCAAAGGTCTACTGCTAATGACGCTACTCTTACTATGCATGCATGCATGCCTACCTAGGCAAGTCCCTGCCTAGGGCCTCTCCATTCCTCCTAAATCCGTCCCCACTATACTCAACCTCCCTTCTATTCTTCCTACTCCAGCACCTGGTCCTCCTCTTCCTCCTCCCCACTCAAACCGTCGCTGCAACCCTGGCATGTGGAGGTCCCTTCACTACTCTACTCATACTCTTCTTCGTCCTCGTCCTCCTCTTCATCCTCCCCACTTGAACCGTCGCTGCAATCCCAGGCATATCGTCCCTTGGGATTCTGGGCAGGCGCTTCCTCCTCCCCACCGCTGTCTTCCGCCTCCTCTTCCTCTTCCGCATCCCGTGCTTTTCCTTTCCCCTTTCCACTGCATGCACCGTTGCCCTTCCCCTTTTTCTTCCCTTTAGATGACTCACCCGCCTTCCCTTTCCTCTTCTTGCCGATGCTTCCAAATTCCGACCAATCAATGGTGCATTCCTCCACCTCCACTTGTCCCTCTTCTTCAGCATCCCCTTCCTCCTCCTCCACTTCGGCCGGGATGATGGCAGCCCCTTCCCTGAGGGTGCCGTTGCCCAGGTCCGAATAGAGCTTGGAACGCAGGGCTGCCTTTCGATCAAAGGCATCACGGGCCCGCCGGGTGAAGGCGACGAAGGTGACGTCAGTCATCTTCTGCGCCGTGAGGCGGTTCCGGTCGCGCCTCTGCACACGTGCCAGCGCCGACCAATAGCGCTCCACCTCGGAGGAGGTGACTGGCTGTGAGAGTGACGTCACAGCCAGGTCTTGGAGCGCCTGCACATCCCCACCAAACAGGAACCACCATTCCGCATCCGTCATGCGCCCCGCCGCCACCAAGGTCGTTGCTGCCCAACGGGCATCGTGAGAGCCCAGCCTGCCCTCCCCTCGGTGAAACTGAGCCACCTGTGCAGCTAGGGTTACGCGCTGCTGCACATCCCCCCCACGGGCTTGGATTACCTCATCCGTCCCCTTCCTAATCTCGGGATCGTTCCTTACCTCCGCGATGTACTGGTTACGGGGGTTGAGAAGCCAACCGAGGGCGTGCAGTGGGTTGTGCAGTTGAGCGTCCCACCTCCTGGCTATGATCGACTTGATGGCGGTGAGAAAGGTGCTCTTGTCCTTGTGCAGTAGCAGACCCGTCCGCTTGATGAAGTGTGCGGCTGCGCACAGTGTATAACGAGAACTAGTTAGTAACAAAGAACGAGCGGACGTATGGGGAGAATGAATGTTTATACCACATCATTATGCTTTCCGCCGGCCCACTTACCAGCCTCCTCGGCCGCCTTAGTCGTCTTCACCGTGGCCTCAAGCATGAGGCCGTACAGCTGCCCCATGAGTTGAGCCCGTGTGTCAACGGCGCGAAGAACCTCGTAGACCGGAGTCATGAGGCGCAACACGGCCGTCCCACAGTCCCAAAAAACATCATCCAAAAGCAGCTTCCTAACCTCCATCCCCTCCTCCGTCCGTGCCACCGCCACATCATCCCACTCCTCGCTGACAACCATCGCCCTCAACGCGCGCTTCACCTCCAGGAACCTGCCGAGCATGATGACCTGGGTGCCGAATCTCGTTGCACCCGGCCGCACCAACGAGAGCTTGGTAAAAAGCTCACGGAACAAAACGACGGCCGAAGCGGAGCCTTTGATCATCATCACCACGCTGTGCACCTGAGCAAGGACGCGCTTAACAGCCGGGATGTTGCCGATGTCGTGCAACATGAGATCTAGGCAGTGGGCGGCACAGTTGGTGAAGAAGATATGCGGATACTCCACGCGTAGCTTGTTGGCGGCGTTCTTGTTGTTCGAGGCGTTGTCCATCACGACTTGGACGACATGCTTCGGCCCCACCGTCTTGATCGCTCCATCAATTAGACCCGCCAAGTAGTCCCCGGTTTTCCTTGCGGTCTTCGAATCGACGATGTCGACGATGACGGGTGCAGTGTCATTCAGCGCGATCACACACACCAAACCGCGGGATTTGATGCACGTCCACCCATCGATTGAGAGCGTGCACCCGCTTGTCTTCCAACTGTCCTTCAACGGCCGCACAAGGTCCTCCGAGTCCGCCTTCAGCTTGTCGAGCAGCGGGCCGGATACCTTGTACGGGGTGGGGAGGGTGTACGGTTTCGCGTACACGATCACCGCGTCAACGAACGCCTGGATCGACTTCGACTTGCTGACGTTGAAGGCGAGGTCGTTCTCGGCAACTGCAGCAGCCCACAGGTAATCCAGCCGAGTCTGCGCAACTTCATCCGTCATTTCGCGGATATCTCGCTGCCGAGAGCGACGCGCGGGCGTCGTTTCCACCGTGGACGTGGAGGCACGGTTTGATCCTCCCGTACCACCCGAACCATTTCCCGTGGATGAGCGCTCCTGATCGGCTGTCGCCCGCCGCTGCTTAGCGTAGTCCGACTTGCACATCGCGACGTTTTTATCCTTCTTGTTAGTGCCGAATATGTGCTCGCGGATCCTAGTCGCATTAGCCGTCACAGGAAGTGTGCAATGGATGCAGGTTGCACCGAATACCCGCTCGTCTGCATCCTTAATCTTCTTGACATGCTCCCAATACTCCGAAGCGGGACGCACCATGGCGTCGTATAACACTATGCTAAGAACGAGTGGGTCAGAGATCAGTGATATGAAGACTTGAGGCAGCGAGAGTGAGGTTAAATGTGTCGAGTGGGTTTTTCCAGCAGCAATATGTACCTCTTACTGCTTGATGGTGCTGTATTGACGACGGGAGGTTTGAAGAATGGATGAGATGAGCTGGAAGTTGAATGTGCGATTGCTATTGGCTGGAAACGTGTCGCACTCAAATGTGTGGAGCGCCACGATTGCATGCGATACTGAAGATCAAGGCGCGAGTTCGATTGACGACTCAGCGAAACGGGTAAAAAATTATGGTGGGTTCGCCAATTTTGTAAAATGTCGCGCCTCGACAAATCGCGCGAACGACCCTAACGACTCTGCGAAACGGGTTTGCATTTCCCCCCTTTCGTCAAATGTCAGACATGTCGCGCCTCGGCATGTTGCTGACTTGCGCGACTCGTCCCAAACATTGGCGGGACTGACAAGACTTTGCAAGACATCCCCCATATAACCCTCGAAATTGTTCTAATGTTGAAATTTATTGTACATTGTTCGGTTCTAAAATTTCGACCGAAAAAAACGACCGTATTTTTAATCGAAACATGAATGTAACGGATGACCGTACTAAACCGTTTTAAACCACCGTATAATACAAAACCGTATAATACGGTGAAATTTCAAAATTTCGGTCGTATTTTTGAACCTTGAGCGGGAGGAGCGGCAGAGGAAGGGACGTGTTGGGGGGTGGTAGCAGCGGGGGCGACGGGGCAGCGCACGAGCAGGCGGTGAATGCCCTTGCTTAGCGGTTCCATGGCATCAACTAGGCTGGGTGGAAAGGGGGGGAGGGAACAGGATTGCAGTTCGTAGATGCCTTGGCTTGGCTTATTGGTTCCGTGGTACCAGCTGGACAGGAAGGCGGCAGTAGAGACTCCTGACCGAGGGTACTCACGATGTCAAGCTGGATGCGAAGTAGAGGACTTTTGAGCTGACTTGAAACGCAAAACTAACAATCTAAAAGCTCTCATCTCAGAGACTCAAAGCTCGCATTTGAAGCTCGAAAGTCGAAACTCCAAACTCTAAAGTAAAAGCTCCAAGCTCGAAGTAAAATCTCAGAGCGCTGCTGGCCTCGCTGCCTCCCTCACTAGATGCATTGCCACGTCTGCCATGCTCGCCACTTCCTGATGGAGAGGGGGGGGATGAGATGAGAGGAGAGCGGGGAAACGAAAGGGAGAGGAGGAGAGAAGAAGAGAGGGAGAAAATGAAAGGGAGGGGAGGAGAGGAGAGGAGAGGGAGGAAACGAAAGGGAGGGGAGGAGAGGAGAGGAGAGGAGAGGAGAGGAGAGGGAGGAAACGAAAGGGAGGGGAGGAGAGGAGAGGAGAGGAGAGGAGAGGGAGGACACGAAAGGGAGGCGAGGAGAGGAGATGAGAGGGAGGAAACGAAAGGGTGGGGAGGAGAGGAGAGGAGAGGGAGGAAACGAGATGGAGGGAAGGGAAGGAAAAAGAGGATGTTTCACCCTCCCCCACTAGAGGTACTGCCATTACCGCCATGCTCACCACTCCCTAAGTGGGGAGGAGCGGGAGGGTGAAGAGTGAAAAGGAACCGGGGGGGGATGAAGGTGGGAGGTCAACGAGTAGAATAGGGCAGCCCTGAGCGTATCTCTTCACCATTAACTCGCGTAGAATATAATTTGTTTACATCAGCGATTACCAGCTCACATCGCTGCAATGATGTAACCCATACACCATGACTCGTCATAATTTGTGGCTACCCTCTCACAGCGGTACCAGCTCAGTGTTACAACAGTGTACCCCATACTCTGTGATTCATTATCAGCCAATAATGTATCAGCCTACACAGTGATTCGCTATAAGCTCACAATGTATTGCTTCTCCCCGTCCATAAAGTACCCGCTCAAACTCCGACCCGTTAAAGAATCACAATATACCAGCTCACATGCGACTCGTTATCAGCTCACAATGCCAGCTCACATATGACTCGCCCCGCCCGCCCACCCCCAGCCACTTCCCCGGCGGTGCCGCCACTGGCAGCGCCACTATGCCGTTCGCGTTCATCAGCTGGGGAGGGGGGGGAAGAGGGGGTGGGGGGAAAAGGTCGGGAGGAGAGTGGAGACGGGTTAAGGGGGAAGGTGGGGAGGAGAGTGGAGAGGGGTTAAGGGGAAGGTGGGGAGGAGAGTGGAGAGGGGTTAAGGGGAAGGTGGGGAGAGAGAAGGGTGGAGGTGGGGAAGGGCAGAGAAGAGGGTTCGGAGGAGAACAGGCTTGGGGAGATGGGCGAGGTGGAAGAGAGCTGACAAGGACGGGGAGAGTGGTGCAATGTAAACAGATGAGCGGAGGGGAGGGGCGCAGGGGAGGGAAAAATGGTAAGGGTAACATGCGCCAATAAATGCATACAAAACACTTCGCAATAAGCACGTCCGTCACGAAACACAACGGCAAGTAGCCGTTACCTCGAGAGCGTCCAAGTGTCGGGCACCGATGATTTCCCTCTTTCCCGATACAAGCGCACCGATCTCCGTGCGCTCGAGCAGGCTCGCCATGGCACCGGAGTGTGACAATAACGAAAAGGCATCCTGGCGACTCGAGCTGACGGGAACGTCTGATGCTTGTCAGTCACTCAAGGTGTCGTCAGAAGTATCGACAAAGCGATGGTGATGAATTAAGCGGGCGTTAACGAGCGAGAGGGAGCTTACGAATGGAAAATTTACGCGCTCGGGGAATTTAACAAACTGAAAGGAAGCGCGCACGCATACGCCACTGACTTCAAGAGCTATCGTGCTATTGCGCAACTGTAATGCGAACGTTCTGAGCGGGTGAAAGAAGGAAAAACAAAAGAACGAATGAGAAGTGAGAAGCGAAGGCCTGTCTGCTAAGAAGCCGACTCGCGAAGGAAACTACGCTGGAGAAAATAAATGATTCTCCTCTTTCACGCTGAGCCATCAGTTGAGCGCTGGTTGTAGGACAGTTGGTCAATTACCATCACCTGACACCCTGCCATGCCCACATTTAGAGACGGTAGAGAACAATTTTATATTTATACAAAGGAACATGACTGTATGTGTATAACGAGTTACTTTCTGGGCAAATTCGAAATCCCCAGGTCTCGTCATGTTTTTCGCCAACCACTTCGCTCGAACACCGTTCCCCTCCTTGACATCGCCAGGCACATCACCTCAAGAACTGATAGCGCTGATTCAAATCTTGTTAGTTCTCCTTGATTCCAGCATCGGTATTAGTTATTCCTGAATATAACATCTAGGTCAGTACTCGCGCATCGAAGGTTTCAATGGCCCAAGGAAACGTCCTCCCGTTCGCACTTCTAGACGATCGCCACCTAGGTATTGCCGGAGCTACGGTACCTCCCTGGGCGATGGGGGACAATACACAGATTCCTGTCAGGCCTCAGCTGCTCTCATCGTTGACAGCAGAACTCTACTCTCTTCTACTTTAGCCTCAGCCTTTCCCGTTCATCTTCAGCAGCCCAGAGCCTGTTCGTTGGATAACTTCGAGCATCATGGAACGCCTGCCCGCCGAGCTAGTTTACTTAATTCTTGAGCGTGCTCAACCGACAGGACCACACATTGCTCGGGTCGCATGTATCTCAAACAAATTCAGACGAATGGCAGACAAACAGCTGTGGTATTGGCACTGCCGTGACCAGCTGGCTAGAAAAGTCACGATCCAGGGTACAGCTGGCACAACTGTTCTTGAAAGTTTTCAGGAAATGGTGAACGCTATGGAAAGCCATAGTATTAAGGCGTTTGGGAAATGGTTGAATTGGTGTCCGGGTGTAAGGCGTGCCACGTTGTGAGGGAAGCAATTTAAACCTTGGAGGGACGTCAACAGTGACAACGCTATGCTTGCTAACTGGCAAGCCGTTCCTGACGCGGAAAGACAAGCTCTTCGCGGGCCGCACTTGCACTCTCCTTCCTTGGTGCTAACCCTGACCAATGGTTGCCACACTCTGCTTTCATATTGTTGCTACCGGCGGATAAACAAGACAGTTCGCGATGATGTGTGGGTTCGCATCTTGGAAGGATTTTCGTTTGATCTGACAAGCTCAAAGTAAGCTCAATTTCCGTCCATGGCACCACACCACCTTAGAGCTCGATTCTCCCAAGAGATCATCACTATACGTCCGTGTTCTGTGTTACATTTGCAATTCTTGAGTTTACCTTTCCAACAGGATGTTCACCTTTCCTGCCAACTCCCTGGTCGACGGCGAATTGTGTCCTTTTTGCAAATCCCAAGTGAGTTCGAGACACTCCGCCTGCATAATAATTAACATGTCGTAAACCTGAGGAAGGCGAGAGGCGGTTTCACAATATGACCTCTCATGGCTGTCTTTTCCCCTTTTCTTCCAAGCTACTGTGTGGCAGGTTGTAGAACTTTATCGAAAGGAATGTGTGCAATTACAGTCCATCTTGTGTTTCAATAATACCACGAAGACTGTTTTCAAGCTTCCTACGTTTGTTCAATTCTACTGCGCCAAGGTGCACGCAACTGCAATCCTGCTTGTTTCCCTCTTGCCCTCCCCGTTCCCTCTTCCTTTTTTTTCTCTCTCTCTCTCGAACGGTCCCTGTGCTCACACACACACACACACACACACACACACACACACACACACACACACACACACACACACGCACGCATGCACGCACGCACGCACGCACGCACGCACGCACGCACGCACACACGCACGCACGCACAGACACACACACACACACACACACACACACACACACACACACACACACACACACACACACACACACGCACTTGAATCTGCTGCTATGGCTTCTCCGTTGAGATTGGAATAACTTTTCTTGCATTCTTGCTGTGAATGTCCCTATAGGGCCATATTTACGGAATAAGAAGGAGGGTTTGCCGACGGGTTATATCCTATGGAGGGTGTTGTTCCGGATGAGCCGGAAGTTGAGGTGTGGGTGGAGGCGGGAGACCAGATAGATCAAGAAGAGTTGGTGGAACGTGCAGAATATATCATGAGCATGGAACCTGATGTCAGATACGTCGTCATTGAGGTAATCCCTTACGAATACTTTGCTGCCAGCCTAATTTGTTGCGGCATTGTGCCTATCGTTATGTGTCATTTGCATTTTGTGTGAAGCGGATAGTCTGCAAGGTGTTGCTTTATGGGAGCCAAGTATGCTCTAGCAACCAGAAATCAGTATGTGTTTTCATTGTTGCACGCTTCTACCATAGCATCACTGATGCTCTATGAACATCATGTTGCTATTATACTGTCATTTGAGCATTTTAAAGTGCTAGTAGTCTTGGTATGTGCATTTTACTTGATCCAACACCCTTTCCGTTTCCCTCTTCATCCCCATGTTCTTCCTGAATGCTGTTTCTGGTGCCAGAATTACCGTGACAGACCAGTCACGAATGGACCACCAGCTGCAGAACTTGCCACTCCTCCTGCTCATCCTGCTGCTCCTGTTGTGCCTGCTGCTGCTGCTGCTGCTGCTGCTGCTGCTGCTGCTGCTGCTGCTGCTGCTGCTGCTGCTGCTGCTGCTGCTGCTGCTGCTGCTGCTGCTGCTGCTGCTGCTGCTGCTGCTGCTGCTGCTGCTACTACTACTGCTTCACGTGCAACTCGTGCTACTTCTGCTGCTGCTACTCGTGCTATTGCTTCCCAGGCAACTAATTCAAATGCTGGTGCTGCAACTCATGCTCCAGCTGCTGCTACTACGACTCGTGTAACTCGTGCTACTGCTGCTGATGAGACTCGTGCAACTGCTGCTGCCACAACTCATGCTCCTGCTTCTGCTTCTGCAGCTCGTGCAGCTCGTGCTACTTCTGGTGGTGCTGCTCGTGCTACTGCTTCCCGTGCAATGCGTGCTCCTGCTGCTCGTGCTACTGCTCCCCGTACTACTGCTCCCCGTGCAACTCGTGCGACTTCTGCTGCTGCTGCTACTCCTGTTCCTGCTGCTGCTACGCGGCTTGTGTAGCTCATGCTACTGCGGCTGGTGAAACTCGTGCTACTGCTGTTGGTGCGACTCATGCTGCTGCCTACTTGGTGCGATTGACTCCCTTCCCCTTCTTTCCCTTTTCTCTTATCATGGAGGAAAAGGGGGAAAGGATGGGGTTGTGGTGGGAGATGGTGTGGGGGGAAGGGATGGGGGTGCAGCCCTGTCACTGCACCACTTTGTGCTGGCGCACCTAGCAGTGCAGGCACCAGTAATGCAGGGACCAGTGTTGCAGGGACAAGTAGAGTAGGGGCAGGTGGGGCAGGGACCAATGGTGCAGTGCAGGGACAGGTGGCACCTTCATTCGATGACTCGGTGGCGGCAGGCGCTGGTGACGGTGGCAGGGAAGGGCAGTGTGTGGGCGGTGGGGAGGGCCGGTGGGTGTGTGTGGGGGCAGAGGACGTGTGGGTGAAGGTGGATGAGCGGACGGGTGGTGGTAGGAGGGGGGTGGTGGCGTGCTTGCACACGAAAGGTAGGAGGTGATTCCTGAATGGGTGGTGAAAATGAGGAGCAAATACCAGAGATGGTTGATAAGCGGAGTTGAATAGGAAGGAGGATGTCTATGGATAAAGTCTCTGGAATAAAATGAAGTACTCTATTTTACATCATTTTGAGGAATCAGTATGCTACTAACCTCAACGCTGAGCCATCGGTTGAATGTTGGGTATAGAGTACCGAAGTAAATGGTTGAGACATGGAGAAACGAAGCAGCCATGTGGATACATTGCACTTGGCAGAGACGATGCCAGGGGTTTTTTTTCGTTTTAGAGTACACTGGTTTCCAGAGGCGTTTTTGACATTACACTTAAATCCAGAGTGTTTGGCGAGCCTTTCTCTTAACTGTCAGTGTAACACAGGCTGTCAGTTTAAAAACCCTGGCACCTCAGAGTAATTTTTTTCGTTCACCCTGATGTGTGAGTACGCGTTGGTTCTTGTGCTGTTGCATAGTTAGGAATGTTGAATATTTATATTTCCTAAACACGGGGTACACAATGTCCCACCCATTCCACTACTACAGGCTCACTCATCCTCTGCCATGTCAGCCTCGCCCTCGTCGTCCGCACTGGCCTCAGGCTTGCTCTTGTCAGCCGCTGGTTGGAAGGGTGCAGGGGATTTTGTCGGCCGCCTCTTCTTCTGCTTGCGCCAGATGTCCACGACATCTGGCCACTCCACGTTGTAGTCGAGCATGTGGATGCTCATGAGTTCAGAGAGCCGCGTGTCGTTGAGAGTCGTGCGCTGCCAGCTCTTGATGATGTTCTGGCGTGAAAATCCACGCTCGCATTCGACGGTGCTGAGTGGCAGGACGGCCAACGCCTGCCACAGGGTCATGATGTTGGGGTAAGTTCGCAGCCAGTCGCGTGACCTCAGCATGTCCGTCAGCGCCTGGTAGAAGTCCTCGTCCTCGTGGTGCGTCCTCATGATGTGGCAGAAAGTTTTCAGTTCAAGTTCGGCTGCCCGCAGGTCGAATCCTGCCAACACAGTACACACAGCACAGGGGTTTTCTGGGGTTTGGGAACTTTCGGTAGACATTTACGTAAGACATTTTTTCCTGAACAGCAAACAAACACGAACGAAATTAGATTTCCAAATACCTGGCAGGTGGTGGTTGAAGAGTTGTGAGTTCTCACGGAGCCATGCGGCACAACGTCTCACACGCGTGTCCGGATTCGATGGCTACTTGTCCACCCTGAACAGTTTCATGCCACCCATTCGACGAAGATCTCGCATGCGGTGCTTCAGGTTGTACACGACCTCACGGGCGAAGGCCATGCCCATCTTCACGCAATCTGCCAGGGTCCCGCCGAACTTGTGCTTTTTGTCCAGCAGCTCGCTGAGCTCGAAGGTGTGCTTGACGGGTCTGCCGCTAGCGTCCACACCGTCCACCTTCACCTTCTTGTCTCCTTTCTTGACACGTGCCATGAATGGAGACAAGTGGGTGCTCAGACCCGCCCCGAAACCACCCTCGTAGTCGATGTAGCGGTGCTCGATGAGGGACACCACACGGTCGACCTCCTCTGTGACTTGCGTCACCTCCACCTGCCGGACCGACACGGGGTAAAAATTGTTTGTTAGACTCTGCGGTAAAAAGAATAATAAAGACGGTTAAACGTGTGTATCAGCAAGCCTTTTGGGCACGATTTACCTTGCGTCGTTGGAAGAAACGATTCAGGGAGTTCAACTCCCCCAAAATGTCTGCCAGGAAGTACAGACAGAAGTGAAATTTCAGGGTCTGCACAACCGTGTCAGAAGTAGTAGGAGTACGGCCTAGGCTTAGTAGCCTAGGCCACAGTAGGACTAGTAACGAGGAGCCAAGTACGAGCTAGGAATGTGTGTACGAAGAGAATTGAGGAGGGATGATTGAACTAGCAAGCAGCAGGATACAAATAGCAAACCCTAAGGGGCTGTACTCACTATTGAGTACCCCACTGCAGGCTACACAAACAACATATTCTGACACACCCCCATAGCCAAAGTGGGGTGTAATCAGCACAATGAGCAGTCATAGCAATAGTTCATAAATATGAGCAAAGCTAGTGGTAGTCACAGCGGGCAAGTGAGGAGGAGGAGGGACTGTGAGAGGAGAGAAGATGGGAGACTACGGCTGAAGCTGCAGACACACGGGCAACAGGAGCTGCTGGCACAGTGGCTACCGAGACAGCGCCCCGGACTACTGGAGTAACTGGCTCACGGGCTACGACGAGCTACAGGAGCAACGGACCCACGGGCGACAGGCGCAGCAGACTCTCTGGGCTACCAGGACAGTGCGCCCCGGACTACAGGTGCTGCGGACGAGAAGACAGCAGCCTCCACTCAACCTCCCCCAATAGTCCCACACCCCTCTCACACACCCCCTGCTGAAACCCTAGCTCCACTCCCACGGCACCCCCCTTAAACCCTAAACCCTCGGCTCCCACACACCCACCCCCCTCAGCGGCAGCTGCAGCAGTGGGAGACGGAGGAGGAGGAGGAGCTTCAGGTTACCCACACCGGTCACCCCCATGCTCGCCACCCCACACCCCCACCACCGCGGAACGGACGGCGGAATGGGAGCAATGGGCAGCACGGGGGGGGGGGGGGGGCTGCAGGGACGGGCCGCGGGCTGCTGCAGGTGCGGGCTGCTCCAGGGGCGGCTGCTGCAGGTGCGGGCTGCTCCAGGGGCGGCTGCTGCAGGCACGGGCTGCTCCAGGGGCGGCTGCTGCAGGTGCGGGCTGCTCCAGGGGCGGCTGCTGCAGGTGCGGGCTGCTCCAGGGGCGGCTGCTACAGGCACGGGCTGCTCCAGGGGCGGCTGCTGCAGGTGCGGGCTGCTCCAGGGGCGGCTCCAGGGGCGGCCGCTGCAGGTGAAGGTAGGAGGACGGGGGGGAAGAACGCGGCCCCCAGGGCGCCCCGACGGCCGACGAGAAAGGGAGCCGCGCGGCCCCCCCAGGGCCGCCGCGACGGGCGACGGGAAGGGCGCCGCGCGGGCCCCCAGAGCCGCCGCGACGGGCGACGGGAAGGGCGCCGCGCGGGCCCCCCCGGAGCGCCACGACGGGCGACGGGAAGGGGAGGCCGCGCGGCCCCCGTGGTCGCCACGACGGGCGACGAAAAAGGGCGCCGCGCGGGCCCCCCCGGAGCGCCACGACGGGCGACGGGAAGGGGAGGCCGCGCGGCCCCCGTGGTCGCCACGACGGGCGACGAGAGGGGACCGCGCGCGGGCCCCCTTGGTCGCCACGACGGACGACGGGAGGGGAGGCCGCGCGGGCCCCCGTGGTCGCCACGACGGACGACGGGAGGGGAGGCCGCGCGGGCCCCCGTGGTCGCCACGACGGACGACGGGAGGGGAGGCCGCGCGGGCCCCCGGTAGCAGTAGAAACGACGAGCGCCACGACGGGCGCCACGGAGCGGTAAGTCGCCACGCGTCCCGAGCGCGCGGCGGGCAGAAACCCTAATTTCGGCGCCGCGCACCACGTGGCGCGCGGCGGACAGTACGGCAGCGGAAGCGGGTGGTGGGCCCATACACAGGAAGGCGGCAGACATGCCGCCCTCTGATACCATGTCAGAAGTAGTAGGAGTACGGCCTAGGCTTAGTAGCCTAGGCCACAGTAGGACTAGTAACGAGGAGCCAAGTACGAGCTAGGAATGTGTGTACGAAGAGAATTGAGGAGGGATGATTGAACTAGCAAGCAGCAGGATACAAATAGCAAACCCTAAGGGGCTGTACTCACTATTGAGTACCCCACTGCAGGCTACACAAACAACATATTCTGACAAACCGCGGCGATCTTGTGCTTGTACTCCAGGAACAGCACGATTGCCGACCCCAAAATCTTGACAAGACGGTTGACAGCATCGGCACGGGAGAGCTAGCGCACGTCGAACAGTCCCTGGTGCTCGAGGTTGGTGCTGTGGATCACGAGTTGGAGCTCTTTGAACCTCTCGTGCGTGGATCTCCCCACGATCTTGCCAACTGCATGGATGGCCTTGTCTACCATCCCAAAATCTTTGAACTGCTTGTCACCGGCAGTGTCCTTCACAGCAAGTGCTTCGCTGCAAGCAATAGTAGGAAACAATTAATAACATTGCTACTTGACTATAAGACAAAGTAACGTTAAACCAGTTACTCTATTTCCCAGCCCAGACAAACGTACCGATGCGCAATGCAGTGGCAGCCGACAAGGTGGGGGACGTGGACGCGCAGTCGCGTGACAAGGCCGGACGTGCCCCCGATCATCACTGCCGCGCCGTCCGTGGACATTCCTGAAATCTTCTGCAAGTCGATGCCCACCGTCTCGAGATGCTGGAGCAGTGAGTTCATGAGCGATGCCGCATCACACTGCTGGACGGTAAGTAACGCGAGGAACTCGGTTACAACCACGCTGTTCTTGAGGAACGTGACAAACACAATCATGTGTTTGCCACGGGCGCGATCGGTACTCTCGTCGCACATGATGCCGATGAAGGGCGAGGCGTGGAGGTGGCGCAATTGTTCTCTGGTCAGATACACGGTGAGAGCCCTGGCCATCTCGGAGAATCCGTACCTGCGCAGACACATAGCACAACACATTAGCATAGTTACACATAAACGGTTGCTTCAAGAACAATAGAGACAACTACAACTCACTGTGTGATGTACACTCCATAGCTCTGTCGCGGTATGTTAGCGACCCCCTCCTCTGCGAGAAGCTGAACGATCTGTGGGTACATGTGGATGGGTGTGTCGGTACGGCACATGAATCGCATGGCTCGCATGAGTACCGCGACATGACATCCTTCGGGATCTCCCTTCGCGAAGTCTTCAATCTTCTTCTGGTCGGCGATCTTCTGCAGAAGGTTCGCCTGCTTGTTCATCGCGTCCTCGTGCTTCGCGCTGTTCTCGTGCCACCGCATCGACCCGATCTGCAGATCACGACCGCCAGCGCCATTGCGACCGTAACGCGCGTTGTCCTTCCCTTGCTCCATGCAGACACTGCATCGCAGACACGGGTCACCCTCAGGGGTCTTGTCCAGAATCAGCCAGTCAAACTTCGGCAGCCAATCAGACGTGTAGCTCTTCTGCGCCTTCAGGTACGCCTTCTCCTTCTCCTCGTCTGAAAGGGGACGAACGGGGGGTGGGGCAGCACGGGGAGGTGGAGCAACAGGCTTCGGCGGCGGTGTTCCCCACTGCAAAACCTGCTGCCTTAATCGTCGCTTCTTCAAAGCGACTGAACCAGTCGACTCAGTAGTGGCCGCATCGACAACCTGCGTTGCAACCGTTGCAGCCGGCTCTGCAGCAGCCTCGTTTCGCGGCGAGACGATCCACTCCTCAACACCGTCTGACTCAGCAGCGTCATTCATCGGGCGCGGAGATGGACACCAATCGTCGTTCGCATCTTCGATGTCGCCAGATTCCTTCCGTGGACGTCGCATCCATTCGGTACCGCCATCGCCCAGCGCCTCTTCATCGCGAACGTAATCTTCACGTACAGAGCGGAGAAAATGAAGCCCAGTCGCAGGGGGTGTGCTACATGTCGGCCTGTCGTCGGGATCAGCCGCGTCTCCCTCGGCGTCGCTAGTATCCATGGTAAAAAGCTGCAGGAGGAGGGGCTGTGGCTGGAGAAGCCCACTAAAAACTCGCTAGATTGGAACGTTGAAGAGCAGCGCAGTGGGAAGCAGAATAATGGGAGGACAGGATGGGGTTTGGTGGTGACCCCGTCAGCCAGCCGAGCAACATGTGTGAATGTGCGCGCCGCGCACGAAATCAGTGCACCAAAGGAAGCTGCCGTATCATGCCCGAAAGTAGGAGTTGTTCATTGCTGATGGGGTACGCAAAGCCAGCGATGTATCTGGTGGGTGCCCAGATGCGTGCGCTGGCACGAAATATGCCATTCCGGTCAATCAGAACCTCAGGTAGTGCCAACACACGAGCGAAACAAGACTGATATCCCCTGTGCTCTGGTCAAAACCGGCAACGAGGGGATAAGGGGGAACGTGGGGGTTCGGGATTACATGTATCCCCCGTACAGAGTAATCTCACTGTCCGGGAAAGAAACACTGGCGCTCCAGAGTGAACTTACACAAAAACCTTGACTGATCAGAGAACAAGTAACTCTCAAAAAAATTAGCCAGCAGGTACAGAGTGACCCCCCAAAAACCACTCTGATTTTCAGAGAAACAGAGTAAATTACACTTATAAAAAAACCCCTGGACGATGCCCAAAGCAGGCTGATTGTTACGGGTGCAATGAATCGAGGTAGCGAGGATTGCACTAGAGTGTTCAATGAGTACAAAGTATGAGCGAAGGCATGAGCGAATACTTTAGTGTGAAACATGCAAACGGTAACGCGGTGCGTGCGAGCTAGCTAGTGCTACGCTGGCGCGAGGTTCGGGCTAGTCCTGAAGCGGTTCGGGCTAGTCCTGAAGCGTAGGCCGACTTGGTCAGGCCAGCAGCGCAAGGTTTGGTGAAACAGTGCGCGCGAAGTTGGCGAAGCCCCGTTAGCAGTAACGGGCAAACAACGGCTGCTGCTGTACGCGATGTTCACGGTCGCTGTAAGGAATGTCGAGAAAATTCCTTACACTACCCCCCTAAGAAGCTCCCTCCGCTACGCGACTGCGTGTATATCGCGGAATCCCCGGCTCCTCAGGTACACTTGCAGGGCAGGGTGGTTTTCAATGTTGGCCAGGGGCACCAAGCTATCCTCAGTTGGCGTGCGGTCCTTCCAGCGAACGAGGAACTCGATCCTCTTAATGCCTGTGGGGTGTCGAATCCGATGGCTCAGAATCTTCTCGGGCTCAATGATCGGCTCCGATGCAGGGCGAGTCATGGATGGCGGGCGGTGACGAGGCAGTTGGCTCGTGGTTGGGATGTACGGGCGAAACAAGCTGATGTGGAACGATGGGCTGATGTACCAGTCTGTCGGCAGCAGTAAATGGGTGGTGACAGGAGTGATCATGCGGCTGATTTGGAATGGTCCACAGTAGCCCGGTCGTAATTTTGGAACAACAGGCAGTCTTAAATTCGGTGTGTCGAGCAGTACGTAATCCCCTGACTGGTACGTGACTGGGCGGCGGTGGCGGTCAGCGTTGCGTTTAGCGATGACGTTGGCTTTTTTTATTGCTTCTGCGGCTCTGGTGCGGGCAGCTTGCAGAATTTCGGCAAATTGTTGTGCGCGTGGCGTTGGGTTGTCCGGACTCGGCGTCATAGGCACTATTGGATTTTGCCCGTAGTTCAGGTAAAACGAGGACTGTTGCGTCGTCGCTGACGTGGCGTTGTTGTAGGCGAACTCGATCAGCAGCAGCTGCTGCTCCCATGTTGTCGGGTCGTCGCACGTGACACAAATCAGCTGCTCCATGGTTTGATTCGTCCGCTCCGTTTGGCCGTCGGTCTCGGGGTGGTACGACGAGCTGAACTGTAGCTTGGTCCCGAACTGGTCCCAGAGGTTCTTCCAGAAGTTGGTGGTAAACTTCGTGTCGCAGTCGCTGATGATTGCGGCTGGTATCCCGTGCAGTCGAACGACGGTTGCGATGAACAGGCGAGCGGTTTCTTCGGCTGAGATCAATTTCTTGCACGCAGCGAAGTGGGCCATTTTTGTCAGTCTGTCAACGGCGACCATTACCGCGTCGTTACCCCCAGGGTTCGAAGATAACCCCGTGACGAAATCCATGGTAACTTGCTGCCAGGCGCGCTTGGGCGGTGGGATCGGCTGCAACTGACCCGCCTTTCTTTTTCGCGAGCTCTTCATCACCTGACACGTAGGACACGCGCCCACGTGGTGATGTACGTCGGTCAACAGCTCCGGCCAGTAGTGATACCACTGCAGTTGCTGTCGCGTTTTTTCTACCCCGAAGTGGCTCGAGGTAACCTTATTGTGTGCCTCCTGTAGTAATAGTTCCCTCAGTAGTGAGTACGCGGGTACCCAGATGCAGTTGGTGCCTGTCTTTACGTAATAGACTCCCTTAGCTTCTGCAGTTGCTGTGAATTCTCGGTCATGAAAAATGGGTCGGTACTGTATCCGTGGGTGAATAGGCCTATTAACAGTGGGTTGGTTTGGGCGAGTAGGATGGCGTGGATTTGGGCGGTAGGGCGGGTGAGTGCGTCGACGATATTTGATGCACATTTTTTGTACGTGACTGTGTAGTGGAAGTTGGACTCCAGATAGTCCAGCCAACGGATCTGTCGCGGATTGAGATTCGGTTGGGCGCGGAGGTACCGTAGTGATCGGTGATCTGTCCGTACTGTCACGTCTGCTCCGGTGAGGTAGCATCGCCACACTTTGAACGCGTGCACGATCGCCAACATTTCGCGGTCGTGTATTGGGTAGTTGCACTCGGGGGGTGGAGCTTGCGGGACTCGTACGCAATTGGCTGAAGGTCGTTTCCGAAGTCTTGCAACAGTACTGCTCCCACGGCGATGTCGCTTGCATTGGTGACGAGTTCGAACGAACGGTGTGGATCTGCGATGTGAAGCACGGGTAGCGAGCACAAAATTTGCTTGAGGGCCGAGAAGGCAGCTTGCTCTTTCTCCCCCCACGTGTACTCAACCCCCTTCCTCAGCAGGCGGTCAACGGAGCAGTCAACTTCGCCATGTCGGGGACGAACCCGCGCACGTAGTTGACGAACCCCAAAAAACTCTGCAGCCCAGTCACATTTGTCGGCGCTTGCCATGCTTGAATCGTCACGATCTTTTTCGGGTCTATTTCCACTCCTTCAGCTAAAATAATGTGTCCCAAACACTCCAGTCTGTCCTGTAAAAACTCACACTTAGAGGCTTTGGTCAGTGGGCGGTTCTCTCTCAGGATTCAAAAAACTGCTTCGATGTCCTGTAGATGCTGTGCTCTTTCTGGGCTGTAAATCAGGATGTCGTCGAGATACACAATGTCTCACTTATCTATCTACGGGCGGAAGGCTTCGTTCATGGCCATTTCAAAAGTGGCGAGGGCGTTGGTCAGTGCGAATGGCATGACAGTGTATTCGAAAGATCCGTAGCGTGTCCGGAAAGTTGTTTTCGGGCAGTCGGGTGGGTTGACACAGGTCTGATGGTAGCCTCCTCGAAGGTCGATTTTCGAGAAAACCTGGGCTGTGCGCAGTTGGTCGATCAGTTCATCGGCTCGTGGGATGGGGTAACGGGACTTGATGGTAAGTCTGTTTAGTGCACGGTAATCGATGCACATGCGAAAACCCCCGTTCTTTTTTGGTGTGAACAGTATCGGTGTTGCGAATGGTGACGAACTCGGGCAAATAAACTCCTTCTCGAGCAGGTAATCCAGCTGCTTCCTCATTTCGTCTAGTTTGGGTTGGGTCAATCGGAACTGTCGCTGTACTGTCGGCTGTGCCCCCGATTCTAATACTATCCTGTGGTCGTGCGGTCGCTGAGGTGGCAGTCCTGTCGGCAGATTGTCCGGGAAATCCCCACTGTACTGCTTCAGGAGTGCTGCCAAGTCATCTTGTATGTCAGCTAGTAGTTTCTGTAAATCCCCCCCTTTGTCTGCTGCCTCGGCTTCCCGAATGTCGACCGCGTACATGTCAGCTCCTGCCGCTACGGCGCGTTTCATCATGATTGCGTTGACCCGCACCGACGAAGACTGAGACGAGCCCCAGCGAGGTAAGGCGATGTTGTTACCGTTCACTCGCACGGCGCAGTCACCCGTCGTCCAGTCGATTCGTGGATTGTGTCGTCGCAACCAATCACGACTGAGCAAAATGTCGGTTCCGTCGAGGGTTGTCGCGAGCATTTCCTGACTAAACGTGAAGTTACCCCCGCATCGAATTCGAACTCGATCCACGCGTTCCCGTATCGCTAGTGGCGTGCTGTCAACCAGTCTTGCGTCGATCTCAGGTAAACATCTGTCCAGCGGCAGTCTCAGTTTCCGTGGCGTGGCGGTGTTGATCAGGCTGTGGCTGGCTCCCCCGTCTACGAATATCTTAACTAAGTTTGTCCCGATTTTCCCACTAAGCAGTATGGGGCTGTCTACCATGTTACCCTCCTTATTCGGCCGGGTGTGGTCGATTGCGTGAACCGGCACAATCACTCGGTGAGGGAGGGTTGGGTCGGGCGAGCGGCGTGACCTGTCAGTAGAGGGCCCGTCTGCTACTGACTCCCAGCGTTTCCCTCCTGCTTGGTCTGTTTCTGCTGCTCAGCTTCCCCCTTTCCCTTAGCGTTTTCCGGGCATTCGCTTTTGCGGTGTCCCGGCCGATTGCACACGAAGCAGCGCCCTTTAAACGGTGCGGCAGCGGCATTCGCGGCGACGACACGTATCCTAGCGCCCTCATTCATTCCACGAGACCGATGTCCCCAGTTGCTGCTACTCCCGTAGGACCCCGGTCTCGGTCGGCGGAAGAGATCGAGTTCCTCCGCCATA